AAAAAAAAAAAAAAAAAAAAAAAAAAAAATAGTAAGATTGGGAAATCTTAGAAGCAAGGGAAAGCAGGCGTGTTCAAGACAGGAAACCAGAGAGAGGCCTGGAAGGAGGGGGTTGCTAGCAGACCCGGGCACCACATGAGACTGGGCTCTAGAGACTGTTAAAACCCGGCCAGTAACAGGTTCCTTTGGTGTCAGCAGTTCTAAGCATTCCAGAAACTTCAGCAGGGATCGACTGGGCTGAGCAACAGGGCAGGGCCTGCAGGAGTATAATCTCCCTTCTGACTATGAGGCCCTCAAAAAGCTGAATAAAGTTTACCTTGATTCAAGCAGGCCTATCTGCCCCCAACCCCATGCATGAAGGTGCCCCATACAAACACACCATTCACATCCTCTGCCTTAACTGCCGATGCCTGAAATTCCTTTAAACAAGGGAAGAAAACATTTTCAATCCACATTCAAAGGAAAAATGACAAAAATGCAACGGTCTGCTAACATAATACCAAGCTTAAATAAGTTTCAGTTAATCACCCTACCAAGGGGGGCCCCTTGGGAGGAGGAGGGAGGAACTAATGGTTTATTGAGGCCGACTAAGTGTCGTACTGTCCACAGACAGTACGTGGGTTTAAATCAATGTGTGTAATTTCCAATGTCGTAATCTATAAACATTTATTGAATGACTTAAGAAACAAACCTAAGTAGGTCATCTATCGGCCCTTCCCCTGTGTTCACAGAGGGAGAAGCTAAAAGTAAAAAGAGCATCAGATCACCATCACCCAGGGATAAAAATCATAGAAGAGAGAAAAGGAAAAGAGCTGAGGATACAGTAGCGGAGAAACTATGCATTTCCACACTAACTCAAATCGTGTTTACTCTCCCATGAAAAAAGACAAATGAGAAGCAATACAGACCAGTGGTTAAAATTACTGGAGCCAGACTGGGTTTAAATCCTAGCTTTGCCACTTACTAGTTATGTGACACTGGGTAAATGACTTCACTTCTCTGTGCCTCAGTATCTTCATCCCTAAAATGGGTAACTACACCTATTTCATTGGGTTATTGTGAGAATCAAATGAGTTAATATAAGTAAAGTGCTCAGAACAGTACCTGGCACATAGTAAATGCAATTTAAATATTAACTGCAATTAGTAATACTATGATTATTATTCTTATTATGATCTGAGGTATCTGGCCTGAATCTGTTAACTCAGGAAGTCCCATCATTATACAGAAGTACCCTGTTCTCAGCAGACTCACTAATGGGAGTATTTCTATAAACAAGGGACATCAGCAGAGAAGAGGTTTGTTAGTACAGAAAACTCCTGATTACCTGGGGAATAATTAAATAGATGTTAGGTACCAGACTCCTCATTCCTCTGTTAGTTTTTTCTGGTTATTAAGTTATTCTTTTTTCATAACGTAAGGGGTGAGAGGAGGTGTCAAACATGAGAAAAGGTTTCTGACAGTGACGACCTCCCCACGAGAACATGCCTCTCGCAAAGGAGCTCCTTCATCCCTCTCCAGAAGAGGAGAAGAGGCAACACAAGAAGAAGCGCCTGGTGCAGAGCCCCAGCTCCTATTTCATGGATGTGAAATGCCCAGGATGCTATAAAATCACCACCGTCTTTAGCCATGCACAAACAGTAGTTTTGTGTGTTGGCTGCTCTACCGTCCTCTGCCCGTCTACAGGAGGAAAAGCAAGGCTTACAGAGGGTGCTCCTTCAGATGGAAGCAGCACTAAAAGCCCCGGGAATCAAGATGAATGGGAAACCATCCCAATAAACACATTCTGGATACGTCCAAAAAAAAAGGGACAAATGGGATTTCCCTGGTGGCACAGTGGCTGAGTGTCCGCCTGCCGATGCAGGGGACACAGGTTCGTGCCCCGGTCTGGGAAGATCCCACATGCCGCGGAACGCCTGGGCCCGTGAGCCATGGCCGCTGAGCCTGCACGTCCGGAGCCTGTGCTCAGCAACAGGAGAGGCCACAACAGTGAGAGGACTGCGTACCGCCAAAAAAAAAAAAAGAGACAAAGCATAAACTAGTGCATTCTGATCATGCTGCCAGTTCAAATGACTTGGCTGGTGGAGAACATGGCAACACTAGCTTAGATAAAACTTTCAGATACACTCCATGCCTTATACAACAAGGGACTGAGACCAAGAGGAACTTGGAACAAGCATTCACAATAAAATCCTATGATCTCACAACTTAAAACTTAGAGCAGAGTTTGCTACACTGAGGTGTGTATGGTGAACATCAGACAAGCTTCACTTTTCCAAATCAAAGTTTGGGCTTTGGTTTTTAGGAAAAGCTATTTAGAAATAGGACCACAGAGAACACATCTCAAACAACATGAAAACAAGAAAAAGGAAATTTTTCTAATACAGGAAGAAATGGATGAAGAAATAGAAAATTAACTGGCGGCAGGAAAGGCATGCTTTCAATTTTATTTTATAGAGACTATATATATAGTATGTTTACTCTGATAGGTTGTATCTCACAGATACTTGCTCTTATTGATTCACAAAGAAAAAAAAAATTGGGGACCTCTGAACGCTTAAGATTCCTTTTTGAGAGGTATTCTATTTACCAAGAAGAAAGAAGACGTAAACACAGTGAATACACACTATTTATCAGGCAGAAGCAAGGCATTTTACACCCATATCTTAGTTCATGCTCATAATAACCCTGTGAATACACACAAGAAAAGCAAAGCAAAGAGAAATAAGTAAATTGCTCCAAAGTAACACTACCTAGAAATGACGGAATAAACTCAGGACTGTTTTGATCTGAAGCTCATGGATGCTCTGTATACTTCACTTACTGCCTAAGGCATGACAGAAGATCTTTTAATATCCACTTGCCTGAATGTTAATGTCTGCCCACAGAAGTAAGTGGGAGCGCTGGAGTAGAGAACACCGGACGATTCAGCATCATTCCGAAGCGCTATGTTTCTTCGACTGCTCAGACTGTACCCCTCAAAGCCAGCTGTCCACTCTTTTTAAAAAGCAAAGATATTGTTAATTGTTAGAATCTTTTGGGGAATATCTTCAACACAGACACATTAAATAAAACTTGGAAGTGGAAGACGCTACTTAGGGTTCATGGGCAAGTTCAATGAAAGGAAAAATTCAGTGACAGGGTGTCATGGTCAATCCTACAAATCACAAGAAAGATTTTAGTCTCTTCCTACACATTTTTGGCAAGGAAGATCAAATAAGTGTTATCTCTTACCTAATAAAATCACGTTTGAGCTTATTCCAATCTGATTAAGAAGTAATTAACCGAGTCTAAATCTTTTTTTTTTTTTCTAAATCTTTAAAAAAAGTTATATAGGAGAGGTCAATTTTGGATCATAAGACTTCTAAGAAAAAGCCTCTATCAAGATATACGTTGAAGGTTTGGGTCAAATATTGCAGTCTTCTAATGCAATATTTAAACTCTTTGGTTTTAGGGATGCTTATAATCCTGCCTGGCACTATTCGGGGACTCTGAAGATAAGAACGAATGAAAATTTCTCAAAATTCACATGAAGTAATTTGAGCAGGAAGTAAAAGACATATTCCATGTTATTCTCCATCAATTCAGGGTTTATCCTTAGGAAAAAGGGTTGTCAGTGTGCTGCCTTTAGCACAGGATACGTGTACTCATACACAGTTAAGCTTCAGGAGTGAGAAGGCAACAGCATACCATGAGGCACCAGCGTGGAATGACCTATCTGGGGGACACTCCAAGGACTCCACTCCTGTCGGCCATCTCCTCGGGCGCAGACTCTGAACTGATAATCAACATTGGGATCTATGTGCAACACTATGAATTCAGTTTCAGAGCCTACATACACGTCCTCAAAATGACTGGAAGTACATTTACGGAACTGGAGCCTGTAATCGTGGGCGGTAAAGTCGTCATCCACCTGAGGAGAAAGGCTTTACGTTAGGCAGAAGTCAGAGAATAACTTCTCTCAGCATCACTACTTAGGAACTTTGAATGGGGGCATCTGGGGCCAAGCATACAGGCCCACATGCTGAATACGGATTCTTCTCAGGAAGGTCAGAGGAAACGTGCCATTATTATTTCCCTTCTTTTCCTTATTGAACCATGTGTTTTATAACCCCAGTCTGATGTGAAAAAAATGTGCTTCCTCTGAAGCAATGGCATGACTTCTAAACAATTAATGCCAAAGATAAGACATTCAAAATTCAAAGACAAGTATCCCAAAACTACATTATTCATATAACCAAGAGAGAGCTAGTATCTGAAATATATAAAGGACTCCTTAAAATTAATAGAAGACAGGGCTTCCCTGGTGGCACAGTGGTTAAGAATCCACATGCCAATGCAGGGGACACGGGTTTGTGCCCCGGTCTGGGAAGATCCCACATGCCGCGGAGCGGCTGGGCCCGTGAGCCATGGCCGCTGAGCCTGCATGTCCGGAGCCTGTGCTCCGCAACAGGAGAGGCCACAACGGTGAGAGGCCCACGTACCGCAAAAAAAAAAAAAAAAGAAAAAAAGAAAATAGTTTCCAGAAGCTGACCACCCACCTCTGAATGATGTTATCTGTCAACAGCCAAGACATCATGACTCATCTGGACATGGTTTTTATCTAAAATATGGTAATTCACACGCATAATATGATTTAATACACAAAATTCTTGGCAATGCTAAGAGCGTGAAAAAACCATACTTTAAAACTTTATTTCAGAGGTATTAGTTCAGTGTTGAACAGAAAAATATCCAACACCCAATATTCACTATCACCTTCTGACTTTTCTAATTCTGAACGATCCTCAAGTCACCAAGAGTTAAGTTTGGGAAATATGTGATGGGAAACAACATTTCGATACAAAGATTTTGTAAAGTACCTTCGAAACTGTTTATCCCAACTGGAAGAGCTACCTCAGTTCAAGTTCCCTGTGACCTTAGTTGTAAAGCAAAGGGCACTTTTGTTCATGAAGAGAATATTCAAAGGCAACTAATAAAACAAAATCGTAAAGGCCCCCAAATCTCAAATCCATACTGCCGAAGCCATTTCTACAATCCTGAATTACGTACCTTACACCATCGTACGATGATGCCTCCAGGTTTCTCTATCAATTCTTCTATCTGTACTGGTGGGCGAGATGCTACCGTTCCATGCTTGAAAATATGGTCTTTCACTATGTTAAGAATTGAGTCATCCAACTGAGCAGATAAGCAAGGCACATCAACCAGTAAAGGCACCTCTGGTAAGCTGAGGAAACAAAGCTCATGTGTTTATAAGGCTTTTAACTGAGAGTTAAAAATACAAGGGAGTATAGCCTTGAAAAACTGCAAATCACTATGCTGTACACCTGAAATGTATACAACACTGTAAATCAACTATATCTCAACTTTTAAAAAAATAACAAGGAATATTTTATCTATTTATTTTTGGCCATGCTGCACAGCTTGTGGGATCTTAGTTCTCAAACCAGGGATCAAACCCAGGCCCTCAGCAGTGAAGGCGTGGAGTCCTAACCACTGGACTGCCACGGAATTCCCCAACAAAAAATACTGTAGATCAGTCACATACTGTAACAGTGCAGAAGCCCCCAGTAAATAATGCTAATGGCAGTGGGGGTTTTGCAAGATATTACATCAAAATTCTCTTCCCAAATAAATAAAAGGAACGAGAGAAAATGGGTAGGATCACAATTGTCAAGTTTATAGCAAAAGATCTGGTTTACTGAGCTATGACTCCGTTTTGTTTGTTTTAATTGAAGTGTAGTTGATTTACAATGTTGTGTTAATTTCTGCTGTACAGCAAAGTAATTCAGTTATAAATATATATATATATATTCTTTTTTATATTCTTTCCCATTATGGTTTATCACAGGATATTGAATATAGTTCCCTGTGCTACACAGTAGGACTTTGTTGTTTGAGCTATGACTTTGTTCAGATTTTTTTAAATTAACAATTCTCTTACACATTAGGATTGCAGAAAATCGGTAATTCTATACCAGAGATTACAATCACAACTATTTCATACTAGTAATACTGGTAATGGGCAGTGAAAACTTGAGGAACATTTTCTATATCCCTGAATCCGAATTTTTAACAGGCGAGAAGAAAAAAAGAAAAGCGGACAGCTTAAGCCCAAGAGACACTAACTCTTTTACCTGTCCAACTGGATGTGTGAGGCCTTTTTGGTAAAGCTCCACAGTTTTTCATTCTGTTCTCCTACACCACCCAGAATGGCGATCTCACCTACAATCAGGAATAAGAGAACTAGTACAGGGAAAATGGTCACATTATAAACTAAGCAACACAACCCGTGTCTAAGTGGGTCTCTGGTTCTCTTGAAAACAATTCTTAAGTGATGTCACAAATTCCCCAAAAGTAAACGAAGAAACTATTTTAGGGACTTCCCTGGTGGCGCAGTGGTTAAGAATCTGCCTGCCAATGCAGGGGACACGGGTTCAAGCCCCTGCCTGGGAAGATCCCACATGCCGTGGAGCAACTAAGCCTGTGCGCCACAACTACTGAGCCTGCGTGCCACAACTACTGTGCCCGCACGCCTACAGCCCGTGCTCCGCAACAAAGAGAAGCCACCGCAATGAGAGGCCAGTGCACCACAACGAAGAGTAGCCCTCGCTCGTCACAACTAGAGAAAGCCCGCATGCAGCAATGAAGACCCAATGCAGCCAAAAATAAACAAATAAATAAATAAGAAACTATTTTAGAAACGACTTTAAGGTTAAACGCAAGAGGAAGGGGATACACAATGACAACATTCTGCCAGAGATGAAAGATTCTGCTCTACAAATGGAAACTTGGTTTGTCAACCAATTTTATGCAAGGCATAAGTCCCAGGGACCTCTTCCCATCTCCCCTACAGAATCTTTATCAACTCCAATAGGAGTCAGTGCAAATATTATCCTGACACAAGCAACAGGGTGAAGGGTCATATAAAGGAAATATTATATAAAGTCATAAGAAAATGATCAACATCTCTGTCCTTCCACAGCCCTAAAGAACACTACTAGAACTGTTTTCCATCTCAGTATACCCTGGAGTTACTCAAGTGTTTTGAGCATATGACATGACCTTCCCCCCTTACCAAAAGGAAAACAGACACACTGAACACTGCCTCAAAATCCTAAAAATTTCATAAATAAGTTTTTAATCCCTTGGGAAGGGAGGGGAGGAAAAAGTTTGAAATTTAAAACATTTCTGAAGTATTTAAAAAAAAATCAGATGCTGCAACAAGCATGTATGTGCCTCAAAGGATTTATTTTCTAAAATAAAAACATTGGTCAGGCTTCGTGGTGATTGGTATACACTCCTGACCTGTGCTGAACTGCTGCTGAGTTTGTTTCCAAATGCTAAGCGCCCAGGGAAAGACATTCTGAAGTCCTGCTAAAAATAATTTTCTCAAAGGCACTGTTATTGTCAGTGGCCAATAAACACTTCTCCTTGAAGATAAGACAAAAATGTAATTAGTGTGTACAGATAACATTAGTACTATATACTAAGTGGGACCAAAAAGGGGACTAACTTCCAGCTGGAGTGACAAGAGCTGGGAGCCAGCCACGCACACTTTTTACCCTATGCCACTCACAGCACTCATCAAAGAAACAATGGTATTCAGTCTCCTTCCCTGGATCCTTTTTCCTCAACGCCCCTTTAAATACTGACGTCCCTCAGAGTCCCACCTTCTGTAGCCTTCTCTTCTCATATTGTACACTACCTCTTGATGATTTTACTTATTCCCATGTATTCAGAGGTGACATACACACCATTCACTGCCATATTGACATCTCAAGGTACGATCTCTCTCCTAAGCATCACACCCACATTCCCAACTCCTGGCATCTCCGGCACCTTGAACTAACATACCCCAAACCAACTGTCTAACTACCCACCCTCCCACTTCATGTTCTGTGTCAATCAACGGCATAATTCACCGGTCGTCTAAAATCACGCTGGGTTGGGTCATCTTAAATTCTTCTCTTTCTCCTCCAGCCTATAAACAGGCAATCACCAATAATCAACACTTATGGCTCAGTAAGATCACCATTAATTCTATCTCCAAAATATCTTTTTTTAAATTTTATATTTATTCACTCAGTCATTCATTCATTCATTTTTGGCTGCGCTGGGTCTTTGTTGCTGCATGTGGGCTTTCTCTAGTTGAGGTGAATGAGGGGCTACTCTTCCTTGCAGTGCACAGGCTTCTCATTGTGGTGGCTTCTCTTGTTGCAGAGCATGGGTTCTAGGTGCATGGGCTTCAGGAGCTGTGGCGCGTGGGCTCTGTAGTTGTGGCTCACGGGCTCTAGAGTGCAGGCTCAGTAGTTGTGGCACACGGGCTTCATTGCTCCGCGGCACGTGGGATCTTTCCAGACCAGGGATGGAACCCATGCCCCCTGCAGTGGCAGGCAGATTCTTAACCACTGCGCCACCAGGGAAGTCCCTCCGAAAAATCTTAAAACCAGCTCTGCTTCATCTTCACCTGTCCCATCTCCATTGCTTCCTATCTGACTGCTGCCACAACTTCCTCATCGGTCACTTTTACTTCCTTACAACCTCTAACACAGTCTCCAAACTGTGGGCAGTGTCGTTTTTTAAAAATGCAAATCTGACTGTGTAACTCTGCTGCCTAAACTAATGCATTCAATGCCTCCTAGACATGCCGTTCACTTTACTCTTGACGTTATTTCTGCTTCCAGTCGTGCTGTGACCTCCTTTTCTTCCTTTGTCTGCTTGATGAATTTCTTCAAGCCTCGGTTGAACTCCTCCTATAGAAAGCCATCCTACACTCTTCCAGAGGCAAGCATTTCCGCTTCTGTGCTCCCATAAGGTCTTAGATCTCTCTCATCGTGTGTGTTTCTCTCACTCGTTACTCTCTAAAAAGAACGATGGCATTAAATCCTATAGACTATTGACACTCCGAAAAATATGTGAACAGACTCAAGATGACCGTAAAATCACTGCATTAACAGAACCATGAGAAAAATCCTTATTTTGTAAATGATTATAATTTACTCCTTATTTTGTAAATGATTATAATTTACTCCTTATTTTGTAAATGATTATAATTAGTACATTAATTGCATTTACCCTAGGATACCTCACTGTACACCTGTCATCCTACATCACAAACTGTCCCAAGGTACGAATAGCCTAAGCACACGACAGATGGCAAGAAGCCTGCTGGAACCCTGAGATACCAGCAGTGTCAATCTGAATGTGCTGCATTTAACGGGCTCCCTGGACTCCCCCCCTTCTTTTTTTTCTTTTTTTTTTTTTGTTGTGGTACGCGGGCCTCTCACTGATGCGGCCTCTCCCGTTGCGGAGCACAGGCTCCGGACGCGCAGGCTCAGCGGCCACGGCTCACGGGCCCAGCCGCTACGAGGCATGTGGGATCCTCCCGGACCGGGGCACGAACCCACATTCCCTGCATCAGCAGGCAGACTCTCAACCACTGCGCCACCAAGGAAGCCCTCCCCACCTTCTTGGACTAAGTCCGCTGCAGTGTTAACTCCGTGCTCTATCAGCTTCTGGCAGTCATCTAGTGGTTTAATGGTCTCCTGTTCAATGGTGTCCACCTCTTGCAAAAGGGTCACCAATCGCTCATCCAGGAGCTTCCCAAGGGTTCCTTTCAAATCGTTAAAATGCTGTTTGAGGACATCTCTCGTCTGGGATGCACTCTCTTTGATCTGAAAAGAAATAACATAAAAATTCGGAATCAGAATCTCTAGAAGAGGCTAATCCACAGGCATCACCCCTAATAATCTCAAGGCACTACACAACCATCACCTTCCATTCAATGATAAACCAAATGTGATTCATTTGTACAAACTTGCAGAATTCCACAGAGTTGGCCTTCAGGTGAGACAGAATGGTCCCATCATTCACAACTATGTCAATCTGGCTAAGTTAATTAAACACACCATGCCTCAATTCCCTTATTTGTCAAATGAGTATAACAATGCTCGCTTCATGGAGTTGTTGCAAGGATTAAATAAAAATAGTCTATGTACCGCACTTGGTAAAATAACGGGCACACTTGTTCTCAATAAATAAATGTTAGAAATAAATATTATCTGCACAAAGTAGTTCTTAGAAATTATACATTTCAGTACCAAAAAAAAATTAAATTAAGAGATTAAAATTCATTTTACTGAAAAGCAATAAAGAAACAGTAGATTAAAAAACCACAATACAGGGACTTCCCTGGTGGCGCAGGGGTTAGGAATCCGCCTGCCAAAGCAGGGGATACAGGTTCGAGCCCTGGTCCGGGAAGATCCCACATGCTGCGGAGCAACTAAGCCCGTGCACCACAACTAGTGAGCCTGCGCCCTAGAGCCCACGAGCCACAACTTCTGAGCCCACATACCACAGCTACTTAAGCCCGCGCACCTAGAGCCTGTGCTCTGCAACTAGAGAAGCCACTGCAATGAGAAGCCTGCGCACCGCAACGAAGACAGAACACAGCCAAATAAATAAATAAATTTATATAAAAAAAGGAAGAACAGCTATAAAAAAAAACACAATACAAAAAAAATCACTTCATGGACAACATGCCCTCATTATGGTAAAAGAAAACTAAGAATTTATTCACAATCCAAAAGGTTCAGAGGAGGCAGAAGACAGATGTTCAGGAAAAACACACCTTCTGGGACAATGACTTCATCCTTTTTCAGTCACGGTCCTCAATTGAGAGGTTTATGAACCTTCTTCCCAGAAAAATGAATAAACTGTACCCAAAAGACATTTATTCAATTTCAGAGATTGCAAATTCCCTCAGATCCCAACCATGGCTCGCTCACAGCAGTAATTCTGAAACTTGCTTTGCAGAAGAATCACGTATCATACAATTGCATCCTGTTATAGTTTAGATGGCAGGGCTCCATCCCAGAACCAGCTTGGAGAAGGGGCTGGAGGAGCGTATGGGCAGAGTTCTTTTTCACAAGCACACCTGTGACTCTGCAGCCCACACTCTGAGACACCACCCTAGGTCCACAGAGCCCAGATTAAGAACTGCTGTTCTAGAAGATATAACAGGAAAATCTTTACATCTCACAGATATCCTGAAAACAAGTCAGTTGTCTATATAGACACTGGATTTTTTTTTTTTAAGAATACAGATAACACACAATTCACTTTTTCTCACTTAACAGGAAAATTCTAACTATAAGCCAAACATTCAGTTGAATTAAAGCAAACTCATACTTTACTTTGCTGATATTTTATTAGTTTCCTAAGACATGTTATGTTTACTACCCTAACCCTTTGCTAACTTGATCTTAGCAAGAGCATTTGACCTCCAAGAAAAATACACCAAGAACATATCAAAATATGGATAAAGTACAATATTTCAACAGTTAATAGAGACATTTAGAAAACTTTCTATTCTCTAACACTAAAATTAAAAACAATACAAAACTGTTGTCCAGAAATGTTCACAACCATGTAAAAACAAAAGATGTCCACGTCTAAGGACTACAAAGAAACACAGGAAAAAAAAATGGTATGATTGGCTGGGGTGAGGAGATCACAGAAACAATTTTTTTCCCCTTTTGACATTAATGTAAGTTATGATGGTATTTGTGTGGTAAGTGAATTTCTTAAATCATAAAGAAAAAGAGAAATCCTAATTTAATTGTTAACTAATCTCTGTAAAGTTACTACAGAACTTCTAAACCCAAGTTGAAGTTTAAAAAAAATCAGGGGGCGGGTATATTCAAAATCTCCTTGATCTGGTGCATCACCAACTGTGGGATCCTTGAGAATCAGGCCCTAACACACATAGCACCTAGCAAATAAATGTTCAATGAAATTAAGTTAATCGTGTATGTTTTTAAGACCTTTAAAAAAGAACCAGGAAAAGAATGCCTTATGATTTTGATATATCTCACCTGGAATATTGTTAGAAATGCAAAATCTCAGGCGCCACCCAGAATTACTGGATCAGAAGCTGCATTGGTAACAAGATCCCCAGGTGATTCATACCGGCCTTACAGATAGCAGAGTAAATGAAGACAATGTGCTGGCGCACCCTCACCACCGGGAGGAAATTCTGCAGTCGAGCGCTGTACCAGTGAGGTCCTATCTCCCTCTTCAGCGGACACCGCACACACAGGAAGTGCATTAGTTAGGTAAAGTCAATTTCCTCTTTAGGAAGAATTCAAAAGCTCCTTCAACTGCTGCAGAGCTCCACTACGTTTTGTTTTTGTTTCAGAACCTCAGAAAAAAAGGAAGTGTGTGAGCACAAAGCAGTGAGAGGGCCAGCGAAGGGAGAATCCATTTCCAAATCCACCTCCCGCAATTTCATTGTACATTTGACTCCTTTTTGTTCAGATTCCGGACCACTGCTGTTCAAAACTTGACACTACCTTGGCATCATTTTCTTCTCCCTGAAACAGTTCATAATTCAAAGCCACAGCCACCTTTAATTGAATCATGTAACTAATCAAGTTCATTCACTCGGCTTTTAATAAAACTAATTTTAAAAGGCGAACTTTGCTGCTGAGTGAATTTCTTCATATTTGAGGTGGTACCATGGTCCAGTGTGCTCACTGTTATAGCTCACTCAATCTTCCCAACAACTCTGAGAGGTAGGTCTGTATTGTCTACGTTGAAGAAAGTAAAGCTCAAGGAAGTCAAATAACTTCCCCACGGCTTCCCAGTGCCAGAAACAGTGCGACTCCAAGGACCATGGTCTGTCCACTACACCAAGCTGGTTAGTGCTTACAGACCCCATTTTAAAGCATTCCCGTAAACCGGTAAATTATGTATTGGCTGAAGACATTTCCTGCTGCAATGTGTATTTCTTGTCCTTGCATAAAGAATCATGTGGTAGATTCCATATATGTGTCAGCATATGGTATTTGTCTTTCTCTTTCTGACTTACTTCACTCTGTATGACAGACTCTAGGACCATCCACCTCACTACAAATAACTCAATTTCATTTCTTTTCATGGCTAAGTAATATTCCATTGGATATATGTGCCACATCTTCTTTATCCATTCATCTGTCGATGGACACTTAGGTTGCTTCCATGTCCTGGCTATTGTAAATAGTGCTGCAGTGAACACTGGGGTGCATGCGTCTTTCTGAATTATGAATTTTCTCAGGGTATATGCCCAGTAGTGGGACTGCTGGGTCATATGGTAGTTCTATTTTTAGTTTTTTAAGGAACCTCCATACTGCTCTCCATAGTGGCTGTATCAATTTACATTCCCACCAACAGTACAAGGGAGGGAGATGCAAGAGGGAGGGAATATGGGGATATATGTATACATATAGCTGATACACTTTGTTATATAGCAGAAACTAACACAACACTGTAAAGCAATTATACTCCAATAAAGACGTTAAAAAAAAAAAATGTGGTAGACAACCACTCAGGGCAAAACAACTGTGACGGTTTGTAACAAAGTAAATTTAAGAAAAATACAAATGATACACAACTCAAGGTCTCAGAAGGGAAACTGTAATATACATTGTTTATGTTGATTAACAATATTCAGAACGAATTTTCTACTAAAACCTCTCCTGTAACAGACCATTAAATCTTATTTACAAAGTTTCCACTGCAGTTGACTCTAATTCTAAAGCAACTGTATTTTTAAAGTTTTAACATGAGGATAAGTTCTCAAAATGCCAAAAAGTCATCAAGATTATACATCAATACTAAGCCATGCAAAAGCCTAGAAAATATAAACTTCACAGCCCTCCAAGACAACAGTGACTGATATTTTCCTCTAGAGTTTAGCTACTAAAATGTCATAAAACCTACCTAGAATCTGATTTAAGACACCTCTGGTCTTCAGTGGCAATATATAGTTGCTCTATCTATAATATAACACAACCTAACACGTGTGTGTTTCAGGAAATTAAGTAACTGGAATCTCCTCTACCTCCTCTGAAACATGCATTTTCATGACTTTATAGAAGAAAAGAATTTTTATCCTCCAAGGGTAATCTAAGAATTTATTTTCCCAATTGTTTTGCTTACAGGAAACTAACTAAAACTATTTTAAAGTTAGAGACTGGCTTTACACACTATTAGCTAAAACGAACATAGGGATCAAAAATAAAAGACAAAGATAAAAAGGTCAACTGAAATTGAAGATGCTAACCAAAATGTTTCTTCTCAGTTCATATGAAATGTACTGCATGAGCTATGTGTCTTCACACTGACACCAAGATATTAGTCATTAAAAATAATAACGGCAATAATAACAATACAAGAGCAGCTCCCACCTACTGAACACCTACTGTGTACCAGGAACTTAAACCCATGGTCTCATTTAAATTCTGCCACAACCCGATGGAAAGCTAGTCAAGTGGCAGGAAATCTGAACTGTCTGCTTTGTGTATGGACTCATATGTGCTGCTACATTTCCTTCTTGTCTCTTACAGTTAGGCTTTCTGTTTTTTTAAAAAATATTCATTTATTTATTTGGCTGCACTGGGTCTTAGTTGTGGTATGCAGGATCTAGTTACCTGACCAGGGATCAAACCCGGGCCCCTGCATTGGCAGCATGGAGTCTTAACCACTGGACTACCAAGGAAGTCCCTACAGTTATGTTTTTATGAAACATGCTTATTAAAACTTTCAAAAAGAAAATCTTGATTATATTACTTGGTAGTCTGTTACATTAATGGCCCCAATGAACCAGGAACCATGCCTTGTGGTACTCATATCC